GGGGGGGGGGGGGGGAAGGGTGTCTCCCAGGGGACGGGAATCCAGGCCCAACAGCACCAGGGGAGCCGTGGGGGCGGGGCCTCCATAGCACCGTGGGCAGGGGCAGTCCCAAGGTCCTGGGGCAGCTCGAAGCCCCTGTGCATATCCAGTACGCTCTGGGGGCCGGTCAGTAATAGTGCATGCGGCCCAGGGTGCCCGTGCCCGTGGGGCTGGGCCCCAGCGTGCCGGTGCCCAGCAGGTCTGGCTGTCCAGTGCGCCAGATCTCCCGCAGGATCCGTTCCCGCTCCTCTAGCCGCTGCGCCCGCTCCAGCTCCTCCGCCGAAGTGAAGACGTTGACGCTCAGGGGCCCGTCGGGCTCCGCGGACACCTCGGGGCCCGGCCGAGTCACCGTGTCCTCATCGTCGTCGTCGTCGTCGTCCTCGGCCTCCAGGGTGCTGCTGCGGGGGTCCCGGCGCGCAGTGGGGCCTCGGGGCCGCGGGCGGGGTGCACAGGAGATGCTGATGACTAGTAGGCACAGGGTGAGCAGCAGGCCAAAGCAGACACCCAGCACGAAGTAGAGGCCGAAGCTCTCGGGGTTAGCTGGGGGTCAGAGGGCAGAAGTCACGGAGGGGGCCTGGCGCGTGGGAGTCATCCCATCTCTAAAAGACTCCAGGTTCTAAGTTTGGGGGGCAAGGGCAGTACCCTCTATTTGAGGGACCTTAGGTAGCCGCCATCGGGCAGTCGGGGGAGTGGGGGGCGGTTTGGGAGTAAGTGACTGGCTAAGGGTGGTTAGAGTGGCAGGGGCGTGGAGGAGGGGAGGGAAGGGGTGGAATGGGGCCTGAGGAGGCAGGGACGGGTCCAAGTCCCGGGGTCTGCCCTCACCGCGGATGTGTGCGTAGGCCGCCAGGCTGTTGCTGAGCAACTCCATGTCCCTTCGGGGGGCATCCATGCTTTTCTGGGGGAGCAGCTCCCCTGTCAGCCTGCGAGGTCAGCAAGGTCAGACCCTTCTCCCCCTCTGCAGCCGACCCTGACCCCACTTTCTCCTTGGGGCAGCTCTGCTCCCTGGAAGGGCAGCCCCAGCCAGGCTCCACCCTGGAGAGAGAGGCTTCCTAACTTCGTTGCCGACCTGGGCCCTGGCTGGGGGACCCTTCCCGTGGGCGCAGACGCCCCAAAACCTGAGGGTCGGGGGAGTGAGCCGCAGGAGGCTCCGTCCCCTGGTGGGTTCCCCAAACGAGGCCCGCTTTCGCCGTCCGGGAATCGGGATGGAGGAGAGAGACGCGGGCGCCTTCCTTACTCCCTGGGCGGGCTCCGGGAAGGGAAGCCGCCTCCCGCTCCCATCCCGCCCGCCCGGCGGGGACCCCCGGGCCCGGAGGCCCGGGCTCACTCACCGTCAGCGCCCCGCTTCCCCGCTGCCCGGCCCCGGCGCGTCCGGCGGCCGCAGACACCCGGGGCCCGGCCGCTCCCGCCCCGTCCGGTCCCGGTCACCTGCCCGCCCGGCTCGGATCCCAGGCCGCGGCAGCGCGGGCCGGACAAGGGCCGATGGACCAGCCGGCGGAAAGTTTCCTCCGAGGAAAGAGGAGGGACTGGGCGGGGCGGGGCGGGGGAGGCGGGGAGGAAAAGGGCCGGGAGAGGAAGGGGAGAGGAGGGCTGCAGGGAGGAGGGGTGGGGTGGGGCCGAGGCCTGAGGGGCCGTCTGCTCCCCGACAGGAAACCGCTGGGGAGGCCGGTTGCAGGAACCCGCCCCCAGGCTGCTAATAACAACAATAATAATGAGGATGGAGTTCTCCCTAGGTGCCAGGCAGTGTTAAATCCTTTACAATGTTTTTTCATTTAATCCTAACAACCCTATAACGTGGGGACCATTATCCCCACTTGACAGACGAGTCAACTGAGTCACAGAGGGATTGAATAACTTAACCCAGACGGTCAGGATTTGAATCCCCTGTTCTCTGACCATGGGCTCTTAACCCCTTCCCTAAACCTTGCTCTTCCTCCCAGGAGGCCCCCTCACCCAGGGAAGACTGCCCCTTTCCCTAGCTCAGATACCAACCCTCCCGCAGACTCTCAGCCACAATCCAGGGCCGGGGCTCTCATCCCCTCCTCCCAGGACCCAGGCAGTGAGTGTGGCCAGCTGGCCCAGCTCTGGTCACGCAGGGTTAATGAATGTTGGACTCTGGCTTCAAGCCAGGCCCAGGCCAGCCTTGCAGAACCGAGCCCGGGGCCTCTGCTGGCTCCTGTGCTCTTCTGCACCGGGGCACAGGTGTGTTTGGTTCTGGGCTAAACCTGCTGGTGCACGTGCACGCATTTCCACGCAGGCTCAGGGCTTGTGCCTGCAGTGTGTGTGTGATCAGCATGTAGCCGGGTCTTCGTCCTGCCCAGACTCCCAGGCCCCTGCTTTTGGGCCCCCCTTCCTGTGCTGGGATTGGGTGAGGGGGAGGCCTTCTTGGCAGGAGCCTTAGAGAGGAGGAGGGAAGGAAGGGGGAGAGGAAATTGCAGACATAGCTGAAGGCACAGCCTGAGGCCTGTGGGCCAGTGACCCTCTTCTCTGTCCAGGCTGGAGACCCCCACTCCCAGCCCTGAGACTGGGTTCAAGCAGAGGGCAGATCTGGTTAGGAAAACGTAGGATGACTCCCATGGGGAGGGGAAGGGACTCTTGATGTCTCCGTGACTGTTTAGTCTGTTTTGTGAGCATGTGTGGAGGTATTTCTGCCCATATTCGTATATTTGTGTGTCCATTTTCGTGTTGTATCTGCTTGAGCATTTTTGTGGGGTGGGTAGGTCTGTGTATATAAATCAGTTCAGCCACTAGTCAACAAATGCTAACTGGTCTGCTTAGCACTTCCTGGTAATGC